ATTATAATTATATATAATTTTAAAATATTTTAAAAAAAGAAAGAAAAATTGGAACTATAAATTATAATTATCAAACAACCTAATTCTATTACGAAAAAAATTAAATGAAAAATTGATCAAATTCAAATTTATAATTATTAAATATTTTTAATAAGCCATCAATTTTTTATTTAAGTTATAATCTGATCTGGTTTTAAATAGTTTTTCAGATATAAATATATCATTTATGGAGGGTAAATTATATCGATCGTCTCCGCATTTTGTCTCTTGTGTCAATTTGATCTCTATAATTTTAATTAGCTTGATTTTAACCATTAATTTTAAATTTTATATCAATTTGATCCAATTAATAATGTCGGTTAAGGTTTTTTAAAAAATAGTTATTGAGTTAGTTGACCTTAACTTACTGAGTTGAACAAACTTATAATTTTATTTATAAAATTATAACAGATGCTACTCATGTGTGTATTTTCAATAAAAAAAAAAAGAAGAAAACACTAGCAATTGTAACAATTGGATTAAATTGAGACAAAATTATAAATTTAGCATCAAAATCAAGCAAATTAAAATTGTATGGACAAAAATAACACAAAAGTTAAAATATAAGGACTATCAATGTAATTTATTCTTTTAAGAATAACTCCATAATTTCTTAAGTAATTTTTAAGTTGTTAATAAATATACCAAACAAATATGTACATAATTCCTATTTTGGTTATAAATTTTTTTAAAAATATATTTTCTAATTAAAAATTAAATAAATATGTAGGTCTATTAACTCATGGATTAGACATGAACAGTACGATTCTCTAAGGATTAAACTTAAAACAAGAATTATTTGCAAAAAAATCGACTTGAACTAAATTTTCTTAACTACTTTTTAGTGTTTAATCCAATATTAAAACCCCTCAAATTCACTCATATCAGTCACGAATTGATAAGCTATGATAAAATTTAAATTTATTAGGATAGAATATGACCTACAATTTAGGGTGGCTCTATCTTAGATAATTTTTTCATCCATATATATATATATAACTATTCATTTAATTGTTTTAAACATAAATATATAGTTTTTTTTAAACTAAGTTCAAAATTTTTAATTATTATAAAAAATACTGTAACGCCCTCAAAATAAACCCATCAATCATATATTCTTGACATGCTCAGACATAAGAGAATAAAGCATAATTACATTTCATTGGAGTATTCATTACAAAATGTATTACATGTTGACAATAAAAGTAAATGCCCTATGGGCTTACAACTTTCCAAGCCAACACTTGGTTACAAAAAGAGTGAGTACTAACTCAAAACAGATAATAAGCCCCTGGCTTGATACACATGTAATACAAAAATGTAATCACAAAAGATGTTCCAGCCACTAAGCCTCTCAAGCTATGTCCTTGGAGGTGGCATGCTACCTGTACCTGAAAATGATGTCCCATATAAGGTGAGCCAACGCCCAGTAGAGATATGCTAAACATAATATGATCAATAATTAAAACATTAGCATTTGATAAATGTTTAACTCGCATAAATCAATTCATAACCCATTTCAATTACATGACAAATGTGTCCATGTTTCATTCCACTTTCCATTTCTTATCCAATTTCTTAATTCATAACTATGGCTCAGAATCTGGCCAAACAATTTAAATGAGATTACATCTCATATCAACAGTACTTCCATTTCAATTGAGATAACAACTCAAATTAAGCACTTCCTACTTCACAATAAATACACATAATTGTTGTATCAATCTCAAACAAAACACTTTCGTACTTCATATATGATACACAGATTTGCTGCATTAAAACTTCAATAGATACACATATTTGTTGTATCGGTGGAGTCCATCCCCTATCTCCTTCCAAATAATATCCGGTTTAAGAGTCCATCCCCTATTTTCCCCTAAACCGTGGAGTATATCCCCTATTTCCTCTCACACAATACAATATATATAAATACATATCATATACATAATCAATCAATACATAAATTTGGTGTATTATTCCAACCGTCATATTCGATGACATATTCAATTGATTAGTTTTAGTTTACCTAATCATCATGCATTGTCTACAACAATCAAGACTATCCTCCACCGATAGCCCAAAGCAATTATTTCTAAACAGAAAATAATTACATCAACAGATAATTTATTGACAATTTTCAAAGGTGAGTGATTAATAAATCTAACTCCACCATTCCATCCCATTTTATGCCAATTTCATTATTTCTTACTTAATTTCATAATTCCATAATTTCCCAAATTAATTACATGAATTAATTTGTCATAACAATTTAGGACTTTTTCCCTCTTTTCTCAATGTTGACCCAAAGGCCCAAAATAACTTCAATAACAACAATACTATCATTTTAAGACCCAATTACACATTTAGGAGTCAAAATAACAAAAACCCCTCTTTATTCATTTGAAACCCTAACACCCAAAATCACCCAACTTCAACATTAAATCAAAATGACTAAATACTTATGTCAAAAATCATAAAAATGAGTAGTTATCCCTACCTCAAATTTCGGAGCTCAACGGAGAAGATGATGAAAACTCAAAGTGCTCCAAATCTCAAGATTTTTGGATCAAAAGATAGCCCACACCAAGATCAACACTTTTTACAAAGGCCCAAAGGTGGGAGATCACTAGGGCTAGATGATTTCTTAGAGAGAATGCGAGGTTTTAGAGAGAGAAGCTCTCCAATGGTGGTTTTCGAAAAGTAAGAGAGAGAAAGGATGTTGAAAAGTGATCCAAAAAGTCAAAACTTGGACTGATATAAAAGTCGCCCCGCTCGAGCGTGGAACTCCCCGCTCAAGCATCAGACACAGACTCATACTCGAGTGTGAAAAGCGCTGCTCGAGCGTCGATTGCACACTTGCAGAAGTTTTGCAGACATGGTCCCCGCTCGAGCGGAGGGACAAAAATCAAAAGGTCACGCTCGAGCGTCAAAACTCCCGCTTGAGCGTACGAAGACTTGCAGAGAAAATTACTGGGAAATGGAAATTCACGCTCGAGCGTCAAAACGCCCGCTCGAGCGAAGAAGCAACAACAAAGGGCCCGCTCAAGCGTCAAAAGCCCCGCTCGAGCGTGAAGGCCAAATTTTGGGCATCAACTTTTGGTTTCAAAACACAACCAACCTGTTTCAAACCTGCCCAACACAACCCAAGACTCAAATATAAAGAGTAAAGGATGGAAATGAGAATAAGACAACAACACAACCGCGGAACCTAGTCCGAAATACAATAAATAAAGGAAGGAAAAATCGGGATCGCTATAAATACTTACAAATATCTATTTACTAATTTAATAAATAGATAGGTCAAATGATTTTTTTTTTGATACAACGGAAATAAAATCAAATGATTCATATAAGTTGGGAATAAACAAATATATGTTTTAATGATTAAGTTAATGACAAGTTGGCGTAAATCTAATGTTAAATATAAATTTAATATCACAAGTGAATTCTAATCCATTTTTACGTAAATCTTATAACATAAGATAAATTATAATTTTGATGCTAGACAAATTTTTAGACTTTACAAAATATAAAAAAAATTAATATATTGACAAATGTAATTTACCACTATCTTTTGATAAATTAAATTTACGAAACTCAGAAGACGAAATGCATTTATATTTTATCATAAATATAATTTTTGTGATTTATTTTTTAATTTTTACCAATTAAATTATGACATGTATTTGCTATTAAGAACTTAAGAGTACACAATTAATGACATAAAAATAGAAAATAAAAAATAAAAATTCTCTTATATGTAACTGTGATAAAAATGAATAAAATTTAGAGTTCGTTTGGAAGGTGGGTTAGTTTTTAGCTTTTTGGCTATTTTTGTTTGAGGCTAAAAAGTCTCGTTTAGGAATGACTTTTTAGCTGAAAAAATGTAATGATTATAGGTTAATTGTGATGTTTTGTCTTATTAGGAGAAAAAAACCTATTTTGTCCTTTTGTGACTAAAATAGCTTCAACCGTGCTTCCCAAACGAAGCCTTAATTGATTTTAAATTATTTTCACTAAATATTTTGATAAATTTTTAGATTATTGTTTAATTTTAAAAATTAATTTTTAATTGTTTATGTATATCTGCACATAACACGAGTAATTATGCTAGTAAGAAGATTATATATGAAAATGATATATATGACAATTAAAAAAAAAAAAAAGTGGGGGATTTTATTTTTTTAATTTGAGAATTTAAAATAATTTTTTATTTTATTTTTAGACTAAAATAATTTTTGTAAAACAGGGATTAAATGACAGCGGAGACAATTGTTGTTTCGTCAACACACTGCAAGAATTTTCACTTTTTGCGACTAAATTTTTAGTCGCCAAAAGTCAATATTTAGTCGCCTATAGTCTTTAGCGACTAAATTTTTTGGTCGGAAAATTAGTAGCCAAAGAGTAGTTGGCAAAGCTAATTGGCGACTAAACTTCATTTAGTCGCTAATAGGTTGGAAAATTAATTAAATAATGCATTTTTGCCGACCAATTTTTTTGTCGCCAAAAGCCAATAATTTAGTCGCGGAAAAATTTATAGCTACTAAATTTTTTAGCTTCCTAAAGCAAATATTAGTGCTTTGGTTACTAAAATTTTAGTCGCCAAAGGTTTGATTTTCTTTTGGCTACAAAACATTTAGTAGCCAAATGGTTGTTTTTCTTTTGGCTACAAAAAATTTAGTAACCAAATGTTTGATTTTCTTTAGGCTAAAGGCTACAAAACGTTTAGTCGGCAAAAACATGATATTATGTTTTATTGCAAATATTATAATGTGTCCATAACCTGTCTGTATTTCATGCAACCTGTAATACGTATATAAATAAAATAATACATAAACTATCAATCATTCCACAATCTGCATCCGTATACAAAAAATAAATTACTTTAACTGTCCAAGTACATACAAACCAACTATTGTCCAAACTAAAATAATAATTCCATACAAAATATAGAATCAAACAAAAAGTAAAGCCCTTCATATACAAAAATTACATTTACTATACCATGTGAAATGACATTTACAAAAGTATTATATTACTTCTATACAAAAGTATAATTTCTTCTCCATACACCAAAATATCTCTGGAAGGCCACGCATCAAAGTCATCTACAAAAAACAAAAAAAAAAAACATTAGAATTGGATCAAAAAATACCCAACTTCATGAATGAATTTGGCAACAAGTAACAAATAAAAATAAGTGAGAAGCAACCTTCCATGATGAATCAATTATCAGTCATTCTACAGTCTTTCTAAAGTCTTTTGTTATAAGGGACATTGTTAAATGCAGAACAATCATTACTAAATCTTTCATTAGTAACATAAAGTTAATGTAACAATCTTCTATTTGTATGCAACATATATCCAAATTTTGTGGCTAAACCAATATCAAAGTCCAATGTGAATAGAAATTATTCTTTTTACCAACTTCCTCATTATTTGTTTGCAAAAGGCACTTGAATCATTAGATTCGATATAAAACCATCGCTGCTTATTAATGTATGTCAGTGCCATTTCAGAAAGGATATTAGAACATGTGATAAAAATAATAACAAAAATAAATTTCAATCATAAAAGGAAATATGTAGAAATGTATGTTGAGACACCTATAAATGGTTCATCAAAGAAAGAATACTTGATATCTCATGACGCACATGGCCTCAGAAACACCATGAGCATGTTTTATACTTGTATGAAAGCTTAAATATAATATAACACACGTGTGTATGTTCAAAAAATTAGCAAGTTTATAACAAGGCGTAAACTGAGTTTATATTGGTTTCTGAATATTTTTCCCATAATTTTCCATTACTATACATCTACAATACATTCCGTCAGTTGTCACAAGTCCTATTTGTAATGGGAAAGCTGCCCGTGAGAGTCAGATGGAGGTTCGGGGGCTGTTTTGAAGTTTCGCCCCCGAAACGCCCTTTTTCGACTAAGTTTTGGGCGTATTCGTCTCTAAATCCCAACCTGGGTCCGAATAACATTCCTTCAGTTGTCACAAGTCCTATTTGGCATGGTGAAGCTATCCGTGTGAGCCACACAATCGCTCGGGGACTGTTTTGAATTTTTGTCCCCCGAAACGCCCTTTTTTGACTAAGCTTTGGACGTATTCGGCTCTAAATCCCAACCTACGGGTTCGAATTACGTTCCGTCAATTCTCACAAGTCCTATTTGTCATGGGGGACCTATCCATTCTCATGGCGAAGCTATCCGTTTGAGCCACATGGACGTTCGGGGGCTATTTAGAATTTTCGCCCCCCGAAACGCCATTTCTCAACTAAGTTTTGGACGTATTCAGCTCTAACTCTCTACTTGCGGGTCCGAATTACGTTCCGTCAATTCTCACAAGTCCTATTTGTCATGGAGAAGCTATCCGTGTGAGCCACACGGTCGTTCAGGGGTTGTTTTGATTTTTCGCCCCCGAAACGCCATTTTTCGACTAAGTTTAGGGCGTATTCGGCTCTAACTCCCAACCTACGGGTCCGAATTACGTTCCATCAATTCTCACAAGTCCTATTTTTCATGGGGAAACTATCCGTATGAGACACACGGTCGTTCGGGGGCTGTTTTGATTTTTCGCTCCCGAAACGCCCTTTTTCGACTAAGTTTAGGAGATATTCGGCTCTAACTCCCAACCTACGGGTCTGAATTACGTTCCGTCAATTCTCACAAGTCCTATTTTTCATGGTGAAGCTATCCGTGTGAGTGACACGATCGTTCGGGGACTGTTTTGAATTTTCGCCCCCGAAACGCCCTTTTTCGACTAAGTTTTGGACGTATTCGGCTCTAACTCCCAACCTACGGGTCCGAATTACGTTCCGTCAATTCTAACAAGTCGTATTTGTCATGGTGAAGCTATCTGTCTGAGACACACGGTGGTTCAGGGGCTGTTTTGCATTTTTGCCCCCGAAACGCCCTTTTTCGACTAAGTTTAGGTCATATTCGGCTTTAACTCTCAACCTATGGGTCCGAATTACGTTCCGTCAATTCTCACAAGTCCTATTTTTCATGGTGAAGCTATCCGTGTGAGACACACGGTCGTTCAGGGACTGTTTTGATTTTTCGCCCCCGAAACGCCTTTTTTCGACTAAGTTTAGGGGGGTATTCGGCTCTAACTCTCAACCTACGGGTCCGAATTACGTTCCTCCAATTCTCATAAGTCCTATTTGATTTGTCATGGGGAACCTGTCCGTGTGACTGACACGGTGGTTCGGGGGCTGTTATGAATTTTCGCCCCCGAAACGCTCTTTTTTGACGAAGTTTAGGGCGTATTCGGCTCTAACTCCCTACATACGGGTCTAAATTACATTCCGTCAGTTCTCACAAGTCTTATTTGTCATGGGGAACCTGTCTATGTGACTCACACAGTGGATCAAGGGCTGTTATGAATTTTCGCTCCCGAAACGCTCTTTTTCGTCTAAGTTTAGGGCGTTTTTGGCTCTAACTCCATACTTACAGGTCCGAATAACATTCCATCAGTTCTCAGAAGTCCTATTTGTCATGGGGAAACTGTCTGTGTGAGTCACACGATGGTTCGGAGGCTGCTTTGAATTTTAGCCCCCGAAACGCCCTTTTTCGACTAAGTTTAGGGCGCATTCGGCTCTAACTCCCTACCTACGGGTCCGAATTACATGCCGTCAGTTCTCACAAGTCCTATTTATCATGGGAAAACTGTCCGTGGGATTCACACAATGGTTCGGAGGCTGCTTTGAATTTTTACCCCTGAAACACCCTTTTTCAGCCAAGTTTGGTGCGTATTCGGCTCTAACTCCCTACTTATGGGTCCGAATTACATTCCGTCAGTTCTCACAAGTCCTATTTTTCATGGGAAAACTGTCCGTGTGAGTCACACGGTGGTTCGGGGGCTGTTATGAATGTTCGCCCCCAAAACGCTCTTTTTCAACTAAGTTTAATGCATTTTCAGCTCTAACTCCCAAACTACATGTGCTAATTACATTCCGTCTATTGTCACAGGTCCTATTTGTGATGGGGAAGGTGACTGTGACATCCGTACGGTTGTTCGGGGGCTGATTTGCATCTTCGCCCCCTTAATGCCCTTTTTCGGTTAAGTTTAATGCATTGTTGTCCTATTGGAATCTAAGCGGAAATCATTTTCTTTACTCAAAATTTTTAACTAGCAAAAGGCTTTTCAATGTCAAAATTTTCACTGTGGGGAGTATGTAAACCAATCAAATATAGCAACCATTTGAGTCAAAATCAAAGCCATAAATGCACACCCACAACCATACAAACAACACCAATATCTTTTCCTCATTAAGAACCTGGATAACATATCTATCCCACAATCCACACCTTAAAGCCTTACCACTACTAGCAGTTCCCACCATCATTTTGTGAGGGCCCAATTCCAATCCACTATCATAGAAAGAAACAAGAAGGCAACATAATTAATATCATATCTTCATACAAAGAAATACAATGACAACATAATTAATGCTTCATCACTCTTGCAACTGCAACTCTATTTCACTTTTCTGGCATAGATTTTCCATAGATTTTCCATCTCACAGAATTTAAACTACTAAATGCAGTTTGAAAGTAACAGTACATGACAAAGTACAAGCATTCATCTCTTCCCATATCAGCATGAATTATTTCACCAAGACAGCTTCAAATTAATAGTTAGCTGGAAGCAAAATTGTAGATTCCATAAATTTGCCAAAGATTACTTCTACATGTGCTTCAACTAATAATTGCCTAGTGCCATGGCAAGAGTTCATGCTATCAAGCAACAAAAGTTTATCTTTCTTAATCAAAAATGATTCCCATATATAGCCAAAGAGATGAAATCTCACTCATGTTGGTGAAATCAATTTTCACCAATTTTCTAAGAGATGAAAGTTCTACCAATTTTCTTTAAACCATTGTTGCTGAAATCAATGGACTTCAATTGGGTCAATTCAGCTATCTCAGGTCATAATCGACCCAATATTTGAAAACCAGAGAGGTTTAAAGAAACTACAAAGTGGTTGTGGTAATGATTGGAGTCACATTCGACTCCAACCCATGAACAACGAGTGGAGTCACATTCGACTTCAATTGAATAATTTTGTAGCCCCAAATTCAATTACTCGTATGATAATCAATCACAAAAATACACAAACAAACTCAGAAAATATAAGGTCAAACCCTGTTTGAAATGTGAGGATTTCATAGTTTATATTAGGTCAAACCCTGTTTCCTTCATTATTTGTAGTAATAGGCAGACCAAAGCATTAAAACCCCTGCAATAAGAGAACAAATGAAATGAAACAGAGGTTAAAGTCAAAATTCAATATAAAATTACCAAAGCCTCAAGTACACAGCAATTCCCAATACCATAACCAGCCCTAACCCAATCAAAGATTGATCTCCTCCCTCCTCCCCTCATTCCCTCTCTCTCTCTCTCTCTCTATATATATATATATATATTACATTTACACACAGATGATTCCTACAGAGTTACAGGGTCAAAAGATAAAATTTCCTTATAAAAATGTTTTAGAATGTAATTGATTATTAAAAGATTAATTTCAGTAAATGACTTTTTAAGAGATGTTTAAAAATTAAAAATACAATTTATTTAGAGTTATTGTTAGATTTTTAAAAATGATAATATGAGAGTTATTGTTAAAATTTAATTTCAATACTTACTAGGGTTTACTTTTATATTGAAGGGTAGATATGTGTAATCGAGTTCATCTTCCATTATAACTATCAAACAACTCACTCACACTATTTTAATTGACCCAATCCCATCATTATGGATGCTTAACATCCATGCCTTGGTAAAATTCTATGTAGATAACAGAAACTTTAAAGAAAAATATCGGAACTTTGAAAAACACATTTCCAATTTTTCTTCTATTATGTTTTTTTTAATCAATCCCAAACTTTCAGACCACACTGGAGTCATCACTGCCCATTGAATTTGTTAAATAAATTGGTAAGGTAGGGTCATGTTTTGCATAATTTGTTAAACAAAAATCTGCTACTGAAACATATATATATATATAGAGAGAGAGAGAGAGAGAAAGAAAGAAAGAAAGCATACGCGAGACGGAGCATCAATGGGATGGTTCCTACAGAGTTACACTTACACATATAAAACTAAAAGAACAAAAAAATAAAAGAAAAGAAAAATAAAAAAAATAGAAAAATTAAAAGTTGATATTTGGTATCACTTTTATAAGTTCGTGAAAACTTATTTGTGTTGACATTGTATATTTTTGTGAGCTCACTTTTATAAGTACGCCAAAGCATTACATCACAAACAATAGGTCATAACTAAAACTCCTAGTGGAGCCTTGCTCCTTGCCCTGACAACTCCCTTCCATTTTCGCTCTCAACTTTAAACTCTTCTATAGGGTGCTCGCTCCCCGTCCTCCATCCTGCCCCCCCCACTTTGCGCAACTATAACTAAAACTCTTCTTTAAAATGTAATATTGATTTCCATCAATTGTGGGGGCTAAGGAATCAAAGACCGGTCAATTGTGAGCTTTTCTAGAAATGCACAAAAAAATTTTAAACTTCAAAAAAAATAAAGTCAGAGCTCCTTTCCACATCTTTTAGTAACTGTAAACTTGAAAAAAGTTTCCAATCCATATCTTCACTTTTCCATACTGTTGTTCCATCATTCTACTTGTATTTTCATGAAACAAAATATTAATATTCCTTGCCTAAAGCACACTCTATCCTCATCAGTTTCTCTTTCTTTCCTGATCCTCTGCAATTTTGTTCTGCCAAATGTCTGATTTTTTCTTGCATTAGAGTTCACATTGAAGAAAGCTACTAATGTATACAATCTGTAATGCAACCAAAGATATTAAAGTTCAACATGAATCTCTTTTCCTGTATCACCCATTCATGATATTTAGATGTTTGTGAAGGAAACAGTAATAAATTTTAAAAAATAATCACACCAACTGATCCACATCATAGGTATGTGCAGACGAAAACAATTATTCATATTGCGGCAGATCAATGACATAGATTATAATGCTGGGTTTAGAAACCGTAGAAAAACATGATTAAACCAACTACTAATGTAAGTAAAATGAAAAGCAACTAAATAGAACTTACGAGCCAACAATCTCAAGATCAAGAAAAGAAGGGCAGATTGACAATGATGCACAAAGTGATGCATTATCCATTCTTTCAATATTGTAAAGGTGTAACCTCCTCAAAAGAGCCCTAACAAGAAGAGAAAGAGATTCAAAATTACTAAATAAATAGAGACAATTTGTCTCTGTCTGTAGCGTGTGCATGACTGTGCACATGAGATGAAGAGACTATCATTAGAAATTGGCAGGCAACCCAATAAATAAATAAATAAATATATACACCAAATTCTACTTAGAACCATACCCAGGAGCACCACTGTCCCCACTCAAAAAACTCAAGCAGGACCTTGTGAGAATAGATGACTCCTTTCCTTGTCTTGATCTCTTATCATTCCAGGAAAAGCCTGATGCATCCGTAGAATTCCTGATGTTGTATACTAAAGGTTAAGAAGAACCAGGTGACACAATTGGTCCAGGCGCAATATCAAGCTTTAGAGACCTGCATTTAGAAAAAATAGAAGTAACTATACATTAGAAGAAATAGGCAGAAAATTACGTGGGACACATTCCAACAAGTAATATACAAGAAATGACTGAGCAGCATATCAATCACAAGAATTTAAAAGTAATCTTGCCTCCAATTTGCGGTGGCTTGATTGCAAGTTTGTTCAATACTTGTGTATTTACATCTAAAGCTTTAGCACAAGTTAACAATTCCCAGCCTAATAGAGTTAATTGGCTAGCTGGAATTTTTACAGCCCTACCTTATTAAGACTGTCCAGGGATTAAGCATGACAGAGTTCAGAGTCCCAGCCCCAAATTGGAATGAATCATGGTCAGCAGCACTATTTAGTTCAAGCCTAGTTGCCACTTGTTAGGCCTACCTATGATCCCTTACCACTAAGCATGTAAGGGTGCAAATTAGGCGGGTTAGGTAGAGCTAAACACCTGCCCAGGCCAAACCCAAGTTTTTTTTTTTGCGGGTAAAAGGCCCAACCCAAGTTGTGCTGAGAGCAGCCCGTAGCCCAAGGTCTTCAATCAAGGTGGAATACAAGCCAATTCATGTAAAAAAAAAAAACAATTAATTGTATATCTACAAACATTCAATTCACTCTCTCTTGAACATTTTATCAAGCATAACATGTGCAATATTGGTATACCCAGTACAAAACACCAAAAACACAAACACAAACACAAACACAAACACACATCAAAGGGAAATGAACATACAGGTGTGTTGCCAAAAGCAACACCATACTTAGTGGCAGCATTGGCATCAACATTGTTGTATCCAACAACCATGTTACTGAAAGCCTTGCCACCTGCTCTTCTCAATGCAGAGAACAATGTTTCCCTCCACCAGCAGCCATTTTCCTTACGAGCACTCACATTCCTTCCACCAGCAGCACCTAGTAGTGATAAGGGAGTGAATTAATATTTGGTGATTTACAAAAAGCATGCCCTTCATTGAAAACTTATTTCAAAACAAGTTTCTGGGAAATATGATTTGAAAAAATTTGACTTTAGTAGACAACTCTTCATACAAGTATTTTGAGTAAGAACTTGGAAGTGATTTTGAATCGATTTTAATTGTAATTATACTAATTATTTTTTAGCTTTTACAGAATGCCTATTGGGGGAAAAAGAACAAAAAATTACATTGGATTTGGAATTTTCTTTTCCTTTGTTCATTTTCTTAGCAACCAAACACAACAGTGAAAGCAAATTAACTAACATGAACGAGAAAATCTAGGGCAAGAGGCCGAGAACAGACCTATAATTAGGAGGAAAGTGAGGCCAGCGATAGGGATTCCAGCGAGAAAGAGGCGAGGTATGATGATCGAAGTAATCTGTCTATTCTAACACTGTATCATTGGATGAAACCAACATACGGCTTCCATAGACTTCAGAAGCAAACGAAGTGGAATCACAAGAGTACCTGATCTTCTCAGCCATTGGACACTCCTCGAAGACCAATACACCGACTCTCCTCATCTCGTTCGGCAATTGGATCGGAACACCGTGGTTCGTCACGTGAAACGCACCCCAATCGTTGCAGGCTCGATCTAGCTCCGCTTGAAGGTCGGCCCTGGTGGCGCCGAGGTCAATCGCCGGAACGCAAGATCGAGAGAGATCAAGAGAGAGAGAGAGAGCAAGAAACAATCAGCCTGTGAAGGGCTAGGGAAGATATAAGGAAAAAGGAAAAAATAAATCAAAGAAAATAACGAACAACGACTTTTTTGTTTAGTGGCCAAAACATTAATTGACGGCGACTAAATATTTTTTTAGTCGCTAAAGGTGCTGGAGAGAGAGACAGAGAGATACACAGGTGCTGGTTTCAAGTAAATATATATTACACCATTAACGACTAAAATTTAGTTGCCAATTAATTCACAAAACCCTCCAAAATTTGAAAAATCCCTCCAAATTTTTTATTTTTTGGCGACTAAAATTTTTTTTTGTCGCTGAAGGTAAGTTTTTGGTGACTAAATTTTTGGTCACCAAAGATAAAAAATATTTTTTTTTTATTTCTATTCGGCCACTAAATAATTTTAGTAGCCAAAAATCAATATACAGCGACTAAAATAATTTTTTGTCACTGAAAGTAAGTTTTTGGCGACTAAAAATTTAGTCGCCAAAGAGAAAAAATAATTTTTTTATTTTCCATTCAGCGACTAAATATTTTAGTAGCCAAAAATCAATATACGGCGACTAAATTTTTTTTCGTTGGTGAAAGTAAGTTTTTGGCGACCAATTTTAGTCGCCAAAGAGAAAAAATAATTTTTTATTTTCCATTCGGCGACTAAATATTTTAGTAGCCAAAAGTCAATATACAGCAACTAATTTTTTTTAGTCGCCAATTCTTGAATTTTTAGCGACTAAAGTTTTCTTTAGTCGCCAATAATGAATATACCACGACTAAATAAAATTAGTAGCAAAATATTTTACTTTTGGGGACTAAAAAAAATGTTAGTCACCAATTCCATAACTGTTGGCGACTAAATTTTTTTAGTCGCCAATTTTCGTCGCCAAAGGTGCATTTTGTTATAGTGACGCCGCAATCGTATTAGAACCACGTTCGAAATCTCTCGAACCACCCATATTACAAAATAGAATAATCAAAAAAGCCTATTGGGAGGTATGGCGCGAAATATCTCTTATCGACACCGTCCAAAATTTATAATCGGACGGTTAGATGATGCCAAGACTTGAACATTCTCAAAATAGGGCTTTGCCTCTATGAAGTGCTTCTTTTCGTCTATAAAGTGCTTCTTTTCCACACTCTCAACCAATCAGACTACTCATCTGTTCGAAACTCATTCTCTTCTCTGCGTATCTATTTTCTCGCTCGCTATCTAGCTTTCTTTTTCTTCGTCAATTTTTGTAGTTGTGATTTTTCTGTTTGGTTCGCGGGAAAGATGGTGGGAAAAGGCGAAGGACCTACGATCGGAATCAATCTGGGAACGACTTACTCATGTGTGGGAGTTTGGCAACACGATCGTGTTGAAATCATAGCGAATGATCAAGGAAACAGGACGACGCCGTCTTGTGTTGCTTTCACTGATACAGAGCATTTGATCGGCGATGTTGCCAAGAACCAGGTTGCTATGAATCCTACCAACACTGTCTTTGGTAAGTTCTAAACTCTTCAATTTTCTTGTTTAGATTGACAGTTTTTTACCTGAATATTTGTACTGTATGTTCATTGATTTACTAGTTGATGAACAATTCTGTATGTATTTGTTGATCTAGATGCATATACACTCTGGTTATTTCTTCAATATTCTTCTTCAAATCCGCACAATCTTTTCCATTAATGTCGATGCATCATGCAAATGTTTACACGGTTTTATTATAAGCAAATTGTCTGCATTGCTTAATAATGTGAAAGTTAACAAGGTTCGTGGTACTGTGTTCTTCTACATGATACATATGAAGTTCATTTTTTTCTACTATTAATTCTACTATCCAATTAATTTAATAGAATTCAAACTTGAAATCGTCTATGGTTCCTTTGGGAAGAACTGTTATACATGACTTTTTGAATTTTTGGCTAATTAAGCTGGTGGCAAGAATTTTTTTAATTTTTTTTAAAGTGAAATAATTGTGATTTTTATTTTTATTATATATCTTTTAATTCTAACTCACTTGGCAAATGATAGCTATATAACTGACTTGACTTAGACCTCTGACGTACGGGTTTTTTTCAGTTAAGTTTTAATTTTTTCGGGGCTAAAGGATGAGATGTTAGGGATGATTTTTAAATTTTCTATGAATAATAAATGTGTAAAAAGATGAATGAAAAATAATTTTTGATTTTGTTATATTTATTGACTTTTTGTTACTTTCAAATTAAAAAGAATTCCCAAACAACCCCTTTATAGCGATCTCGGTTTTCCCTTCCTTTATTTATCGTATTCCGGACTTGGTTCCGTGATTATGTTGTTGTTTTATTCTCATTTTCATCCTTTACTCTTTATATTTGAGTCTTGGGTTGTATTGGGCAGGTTTGGAACAGGTTGGTTGTGTTTAGAAACCAAAGGTTGTTGCCCAGATTTTGGCCTTCACGCTCGAGTAAGCCCTCTGTTTTGCTTCTCCACTCGAGCGGGAGTTTTGACACTCGAGCTTGAATATTCATCTCCCAGTATTTTGTCTCTGTAGGTCGTCGAACGCTCGAGCGGGAGTTTTGACGCTCGAGCGGGACCTTTCGTTTTTGTTCCTCCGCTCGAGCAGGGAGTCTGACGCTTGAGCGGGGATTATGGTCTGCCAAACTTCTGGAAGTGTGCAATCGACGCTCGAGCGTGAGTCTGTGTCTGACGCTCGAGCGGGGAGTTCCACGCTCGAGTGGGGCAAGTTTTTTATCAATCCGTGAGACAGCTTTTTGGACCATTTTTCTTTTGACTCTTTCTCTCTCTTACTTTCCCAAACCCAAAATTGAGAGCTTCTCACTCTAGACTTCACCTTCTCTCTAGGGATTGATCTACTTATAGTGTGTTTCTACCCTAACCTCTTTGTAAGAAAGATAGAGGGTGACTTGGGCTTCCTTTTAATCTGAAAATTTGTGGATTTGGAGCACTTTGAGTTTTCATCATCTTCTCCGTTGAGCTCCGAAATTTGAGGTAGGGATAACTACTTATTTTTATGGTCTTTAACATAAACTATTGGTCATTTTGATTTAATGTTGATATTGGGTAATTTTGGGTGTTAGGGTTTTCAAAATGAGAAAGAGGGGTTTTGTTATTTTGGCCCACACTTGTGTATCTTGGGTCATAAAATGAGGGTATTGATATTATTGAAGATATTTTGGGCCTTTGGGTCAATATTGAGAAAGAGGGAGAAAAGCCCTAATTTGATGTTATGAATTAATTTATATAATTAATTTGGGAATGTTATGGAAATATAAAATTGAGTTGGGAATAATGAAATTGACTCATTATGTAGTAGAATGGTGGAGTTAGATATAATAATCACCCACCTTTGAGAAATATTGATAATTTATCTGTTGGTGCATTTATTATCTGTTTAGAAATAACTACTTTGGGCTATCGGTGGAGGATAGTCTTGATTGTCGTAGACACTGCTTTGGGCTATCGGTGGAGGATAGTCTTGATTGTCGTAGACACTACATGATGATTAGGTGAATTAAAACTAATCAATTGAATATGCCATTGAATATGACGGTTGGAATAATACATCAAATTTATGTATTGATTGGTTATGTATTTGATATGTGTTCATATACATTGTGCTGTGTGAGAGGAGATAGAGAATGTACTCCATGGTTTAGGAGGAGATAGAGGATGGACTTCTAAACCGGATATTATTTGGGAGGAGATAGGGGATGGACTCCGTTGATACAGCAAATGTGTGTATCTATTAAAGTGTTGATACAGCGAATATGTGTATCTATTGTGAAGTATGGAAGTGTTTTAATGTGTTATTGATACAACAAATATGTGTATCTATTGTGGATCAAGGAAGTATTGTTGATATGAGCTATAGTCTCATTAATTGTTGGCCAGGTTCTGAGCCTTATTCATAAATTGAGAACTGGATAAGTAATGAGAAATGGAATGAAACATGGACATATTGGTCATGTAATTGAAAGGAATTATGAATTGATTTATGTGAGTTAAACATTTATTAAATGTTCATGTTTTAGTTATTGCTCATATTATGTTTAGCATATCTCTACTGGGCGTTGGCTCACCCTATATGGGACATCATTTTCAAGTACAGGTGTTATGCCACCTCCAAGGACGTAGCTTGGAAGGCTTGAGGCTGTTAGACTCCTTTTTGTTGTTTTTGTTGTATTACATGTATATCAAACCAAAGACTTATTTTGTGTAGAGTTAATACTCTTTTTTTGTAACCAAGTGTTGACTTGGAAAGTTGTAAGCCTATAAGGCATTTACTTTTGTTGTCAACATGTAATACCTTTTGTAAGAATACTCTGATGATTGTAATATGAAATCTCTTCTCTTTATCATGAATGTATGTTATGATGGGTTTATTTTTTAGGGCGTTGCACCCTTACTGTCGCTCAATTCATTTGGCTAAAATTAAAATTCTAACTTATTTTTTTGACATGAACATTTTTTTTTTAAAAATTAAGAGTTAATTTTTTTATTTTATAGATCTATCTTGGATTCTAAAATTTTTTAAAATTGGGTTAACTTAATTTTCTTCTACTAAAAGACATAAATTTTATAAAAAGATTTACAAAAATTTGCTTATTTTTATATTTTATGAAAACTAAAATTTTTATAATTTTTAGGATTAGGATCTTAAAGAAATTTGACATAATTAAAATAAATAAAAAATAGGGTAAATTACATTTACACCCCTGAGATTTGGGTTTAATACATATCACCCTTGACATTTGGGAAATTCCCCGTCATTATAATTATTTAGACGGAATGAAAATATTAAACTCATGCACTTTTTATTTTATGGGATACTTACGTGTATGCCCTAATAAGTAGACTTATTGTCTAATAGGTCCCATGGGAAAAATTTATTATAAAAAAGTTACTAATTGTAAATTTTAACGACAATTTATAAAAATCATGATAAAAAAAAGTCACTAATTGTTAATTTTTAGCGACGTATGTAAAAAATTGTCACAAAAAAAATTTTTAGCGACAATTTTACCAACACTTATTTTCAATGGGACTTGATGATAATTAAGTCCAA